TTGTGATTAGGTAATTTCTCTAATGGCTCCTTGTTATTGTGGAAGAGCTGTACAACAGCTTTTGTATTTCACTCTGCTTCTGAAGCATTTGTTCACATCACATTCTTTTTCTAAGCAAATAAATAATTTTTATTAACAGTATAATCACAGTGACTGCTGTGGTGAGCTTATTGTGGGCATGGCTGTTAGGAAGAGGTTGAAGGGACCCCAGAAGGTGTTTGGGCACTGGGACAGGCTCCCCAGGGCAGTGGTCACAGCACCAGCCTGACAGAGTTCAAGAAGTGTTTGGACAATGTTCTCAGGCACAGGGTGTGACTTTTGGGGATGGTGCTGTGCTGGGCCAGGAGTTAGATTTTATTCTCATGGGTCCCCTTCCAACTGAGCATATTCTGTGCAATTCTGTGATTCTGTGGCTGTCCTGCTCTGCACATGTCTTGGAGCATGTGTGATCACACCCAGAATGACACATAAGACATCATCTTTCCCCATCCACATTGTGTCTGGATGGGGCCAGCTTTCTGCTTTGACTTCTGTCATGGAAGATGCGTATTCTTATTCAGAGTGCTTCTATGCCTCCAAGGGAGATGGTTTTCCCTTGGTTTTTGAACCAGACTTTGAATTTGGGATAGAAATGTGAGGAAGCTTGGATGTTCTGTTTGTAAATGAAAGATCACCAGTCTAATATGGGGTTATGTCCTGTAATTATGCATTGACATGGAGAGGGAGGAACAGGTTCCATTCTGCTTCTGGACTTTGCATTTATTTTTGTGTGGCCTTTCTATTCTACCCTCTAAAAATATACAGACTTCCCCAGTTTGGATATTAACCCCAAATTATTCTGGACATTTTTCGGGTACAGAGTTATGGGCATACACATGCAACATTTGAGGTTTTGTGAATAGTTGTTCATAAAACTTAGGCTGTATTGCACATGTATATGTAAATTGTATAGATTTTGAGTCCAAGTGATACACAAATTATCAGTGAACGGGTTGAAGAACCTCCTGTCATTTATTTTTATAGCTAATGGCTTTTTTATATTCCATTTTGTACAAGTTTTCATTAAGCAGTGCATGTAAAGTGCTTCAACTTGACTTTGATGCACATTCAGTATCAGAAGGAAAGATCAGGCCTTTTATCTCTAAACTACAGATCAATTACCTTTCTAAACACTTACCTCATAATTTTCCTTTAAATAAAAAAGAAAAAAAAAGGTACTACATTCAACTGTATTAAAGACAAGAAAAATTAAAGTGGTTGGAAAAAATGGAAGCATCACCGAAGATAAGATATAAGGGACTATGGACCTGCCATTGTAGGATTAGATACTGGTGCACAATTATCCCATAGAGTGTAAAAGAAAAAAATGTACCTTAATATTTGGAAGTAATAAAATCTGTGAGTTCGTGAAACAAGAAGGTAGCTGGCTTGCTAATTAATTGAATATGTGACAGCTTTTAAGTGAAGCACAGCTGCTGAGTTGTCAGAGCAGGTGACTTTATCATCAGCAGATTTTGATGGTATTATGCTTAGGATGAAATAACCACTTGTTTCAAAAAACAGTCTGTAATATCCTATCTGAAGGTCAGTCTCATAGATTTCATTCCTTAATATTCTAGCTGACATTCCCATTTTCTGAAGTATGAGTCTTTAGATACATAAGTCTTGGATATTGTAGTATCAAAAAGGCTACAATGTGCAGCATTGCAATTAGGTAGAGAAAATCCTCTTACTATTACATCTGTGAACTGTAAACCAAAAGTTCCAATTTTTGTTGTTTATACATTTTTACTGGGGCTCTCATAATAGTACAGTCATATTCTAAATAGGAGTGCTTTTTGATTCAGCGCTATAAGACTAAAAAAATAATTCAATAGAAATAGTGTTGGAGTTCAGTGTAGGTAAAATACTAACATCCTCTTACACAGCTCTTGGCTGTGTAGGTTCAACTTACAGGGTATTTTTCTTTTGAAGTGACATGACATTGAGCTATTATTTCAGAAAGGTAGAAAAGAGACTGTTATTCATTTATATTCCAACTGTATTAAACATGCTACTTCAAAACACAAGACTCCCCCTCTTTGAAATGAACAAAATAGTCAAATGCAGAAGAAGCTATTCAAAATTGTCTTTTAATAAAAGTTTAAAGTCTTCAAAATATATTTGCCCCTGGAGCAAACTTTTTTCATTTAATATTGTGTCTGTTAATTAGTGCTTCAAATTTGCAAATTCTTTATTGGTTTATATCAATGTAATACCCAAAGCTCATCTCATTGCCAGCTTTGAATGAAATATGATCCTGTTTATTCTATTAAAACGAAGGCTTGAAATTGTTACCCAAATGCCACAGGAATTCTTGCCATTTTCTCATCAAATTCCTCATCAGATTTTTTGTTAAAGTCACATTGTTTTAGATTTTGAGCCTTGGCATTTAAATGAAATTCAATGTGCCCCACTGGAGAAAACATCTGCAGGGACATATTATGTACAATATCCATTCCAATCAAGCAGGAGTGCACTGTGTGACTGAATGAAAAGCTTATTCTTACTCCACTTAGGTTTACCCTGATGTGGCTATTGAGTCGGTCTGTGACAAGAAATGTGTAGAAAATTAAACTAGCAGAACAGCAAGGTTTTTTTAATACTCAGAGCAAATACTTCCAGTTGCACAATATTAATTTAAGAATGACATTTTATAAAAGAACCTGGAGGAGTTTGGTGCCAAATTCCCTCAGAAATTCAATGGAACTTGGGAATTAGAGCCTTCAGGTTGCCTTGATAAATCTCTGAGAGATTATTATTAAGGGTTTTCTTTGAATATAAAATCGTGATCTACTGAAACTGAAGGGAGTAGAGAGGTGTCGGGGGAGAAAGAAAAGAAAGAATACAAAAATCAATTCTCTGATTCAATAAAACTTATAAAAAAGTTGAAGAAATTCTCAAAGCATGGAGTTAACCTGGAACAGTCCCCCTTTTTTGGAGCAGCTGCCTTACACAACTAGGACTCTCCCTTTCAGCTGGTGTGCAAAAAAAGTCAGTGTGGAGGAGCAAGCCCTTCTAGAGCAGATGTGGGTGTTTGTGGAGCTTGCTCATTTTTCCAATGTAGAATTCTGACCAAAAAATAAAAAAGCTTCTATAAGATGTATTCATGGTGGCAGAGTCCTTTGCCATCCTTTGAAAGACTTCTTTTACAGGCAGAGCACCTGCCTGTAACATCTCTTCTGCTGCAGACCTGTGAATAAGAGCTGTTGTTACGAGCTTTTCAACTGCTTTTTAAAAACTGTAAGAGATGTGGCAGTGGAGGCAAGGGGGTCACTCCAGAGAGTTACTGGAATTTATCTGTCTTTAGCACTACAGGCCATGAAGACCACATCAAGAATACCAGGTCCAATTTTTGTGCCTCCCGTTACAGGAAGGACATTGATAAACAGGGACAAGTACAGCATAGATGGAGCCAGGCTGTTGACAGTGGGCCATGGTGAGAGGGGGAGAAAGAACGAGCATAAATTGGAGAAAACAAATAGAATTTCTGGCTGACTGTAAGGAAACACTGTTTCCTCTTGAGGACAGACAGGTATTGGAATAGATGGTGCAGGAAGACTGGGCAGTCTCTGTCTATGGAAGTTTTTAATGTCGAGTTACATGAAGCCCTGTTTAATGTGATCTGACTTCAAAGCTGTCTCTGTTGTGAGCTTAAGTTTGGGCTAGAGACATTCTGAGGTCTATTTCTACCTGAATTTTCCTATGATACAATTGGATTTGTAGAAAATCTTCCTCATTCCTTTCTTGTCCTTCTTCTACTTGTTTATCTCAGTTTGTTATTTAGTGTTATGTCATGTAACTTCCAGGGGTATATAGTTCCTTTCAAGAGCACCTCTGGAAGAACTGATTAATAATGAAAAACAAACCAAACCAACCAAACAAACAAACAAACAAAAAAACCCAAAAAACCCCCCAAAAAAACCCAAAACCAAGAAAAAAACCAAAAAACCCCCCACCAACAAAAATCACAACAAATCAGAGAATACAGTCAGCAAAAGTTATCCAATATGGTTATCAGATAGAGGGAATTCAATCAGTAAGGAACAGAGAAAAAAGAAAAAAGTCTAATGGTAATGAAACATTAAATTTATTGTAGAGTCCAATCCTGTGTGTAACTTTGTTTACAAAATGTACCTATTTGGTAAAAGCAGGCACATTAAAGTTTATAAACATGTGATTAACCCAAGCAGTGCAGTTCTAAACTTCGCAGGGTTACATCTACTTCCTTCAAGTTTGATGAGACAAACAGTTTGCACACTGAATTTGGAACTCAGGAAAGCTGTATACCAGTAACATCTCAAAGAAGAGGTGTTACTGGAAATATTCTCCTTGAAATCTCTTGCATTTGACACTCAGAAAGTATTCATGTAATGTTAACAGCTGATCCTGTCAATCAGAGGAGCCATGAAGTAAATAAATACTTTCTTAGAAATTAGTTAGATCAGATAGGAATTGGGTAGATCAAAGCCCGCTGCAATGAGTAATCTATGCTAATAGAAAATAACTCTGGTACACTCTATAGCTAACTCCATGAAAAGGGTAATTTTAAGCACAAATTGCAACACATGGTCTTAAGAAGTATTCTTCAAATTTTTTTTTTCTGATTTGAAAGGATTTGCAAACTAACTGCTTTCACCCTATTGTGCATGTGAGCTTTTTTACTAACTATAGCTCTCTACCTTACCACAAGAAGTGAAATTTGTTTTCTTTCATAATTTGCATACAGCTACATTAAGTAGAAATGGATGATGAAAAGGAAGTGAGTTATTCTAGCACCTGACAAGTTTGGGGCTTTTTGGTGCCCAGGAAAGGATTGAAAAAGCTGATCAGAAGTGATGTTTCACACTTCTACATGAACATTAAAGGAAAGTTGTGCTTTTTGGAGGGTGCACTATTAGTAGTTTTTAAAGAGAAATGTGAAGCAAAGTTAAATAGGTTTGTAAATATTTTGTTCATAGTGGGTCAAAAAGGAGAAGAAGAATGAATTAAAGCATCACCAGTTGGTTCAACAATTCCGTTCACTTCTGCTGACAAGAAAGGATGTTGGCTGATGGCATGGTAAGTACATACAGCAAGGCTAGATTATTTCTTTTTTCATAATGTTTCAGCCTTTGCTGTATTCTTCAATAGTGCTGGGGAAAATGTAGTGCTAAAATGGGAGCAGATTCTTTGGTTTTTTTCTGTCTGTGATTCCCCATTACATTTGCAGAGATGACATGTCAAATTTCTGAACTGCTTCTTCAGCAATCTCAAATGGTCTCTGAATTTCAGGCTCAGATGCTCTCTAGCTCAAGCATAATTATCACGAATAACACTTTCAGTAGGTCTAACTCTACTTTCACTTAGAGCCAGGTGATCTCCTTATCTTTTGTAGGCAGAATAGAAGAAATACTTTTTCTCATGGAATGATTCAATTTGAGGTTTGCATTTGTGTTATAAAACTAATTCTTCATAATGCATGTGTTGAATTTGTCATGATTTTTTTAGCTACTGTCTCTTCACGGCTTACATGAGTAAAAAATAGTATTTTAATAGTTATTTATTTTTATTTGTTCATGGGTTAATAGACATGATTCTGAAGATGTGAACTCTTATGTGAGGATCAGACTTATTAAATAGGCAATCACTATTTTTGCAGGCTGAGTACATGTTCAAAACAGAAAGCTGCTAATACCACAGAGATAAAAGGATCATTTGCACTAATTTATGAAGCTAATTAATCAAATGAACTGAGTATATTAAGCAGTTGGTGATATTCTGCTGAGCAGGAACTGAAACAGTTAGAAACTTTGTCAGTCTAGTCTTTGTTATTGTCATGACATGACTTATATTGTAAGTTTCCTACAATAGTAGCCTTTTCATAAACACTGGCAGCTTAAGCAGTTCAATAAACAAAAAATGGGAATACTCACAATATCCAGGCAGATTCCTCTTTATATCATAACATTTCCTTAATAAATTACTGAGAATGAAAGACGCAGTATGTGAAGATAACTGTGGGTGTAAATATTATATATTATATAGGTATAAATCATAGGTATAAATTTTATAGGTACAAATTATATAGGTATAAAATATTTTAAATAGTTAGTACACGTTAATTATTAAGAACAGTAGGCATTTATCTGAATTTTTAGCAAATTTTTAAAAATACTAGAGTTCTATGCAACTTTGGAAGATTCAGAAGATTCTGCAGTGGAAAAAAAATGTTTTTACTAAAATAGTGTAAAAAATAAAAATACCAGTGGATGGTCATTTTTATATTGCCCAGAGTCTGTATATGATGCAGAGGCAATGCATTTCAATGTTAGATTTGTTGGTAAAACCATCAGCAATGATGAAGCAAAATGTTTCAAGATAGATGCAAAAGTTTTTCAGAGGCAAGCCAAACAATGCCACCTAAATCCTTTAAAGCACAATTTAGAGTTACTTTCTGACGTGACAGAAATGTGTGTATTGAGCCCATTTTGTCCTTAGAAGCCAGTGGGAATGAGACATGCAAAATAAATGAAAATTTTTCTATGAGTGTCTCAGGCAGATCTGTGGAAATTCATTGCCACATTGAGAGTGCATATACAAGTGATGTGGGAAGTGCTTCCCAGGCATGGAGCTGTACTCTGTGCCTCTGTGCTTCTGTTCACTGTGCATGTTCTGGTACATTGACAACACCTGCAGGAACCTCACAAGAAAAAAACCTATAGGTCTGGAATGAAGTTGTATGGCCAAGACCAGGATGGAAAGATTAAGTAGAGGTAGGTAACATGTGCAGTTAGCTAAGGGCATGTGCTGGTATTCAGTGCCAAAGGGAGTGAGGTTATACAGCAGGAAGTTTTGAGGTAAGATGAGAGAGGAAGTGATAGTAGTTTATCTGATTTAGTGCTGCTCATGAGAGTAGCTGACTGAAATAAATTTAGGAATCCCTGCTATCAAATGTAGAACTCAATGAGATTAAATCCTGTTTGTCTGGATTCAATAGCATCTTCAATAACCTTTGTAGATTTGTTTTCCATTCACTTTTCATTTCTTCTTTTCTTGAACTTTAATTTCCTGCACCTTCTTGCTAAAAACTGCCTGTTCTGTCAGTGACGAGTCATGGTAAAGAGAGAGCACAAGAGAAGAATCTAAATAGAAAAGTCAGTTCTTTTTCCAGCCCAGTCTATTTCCCACCCTGGAAGATTGAAAGGAATAGCCTCTCTGATACCCTTTGAACATATTGTCAGCTGACACAATTTGAAGCAACCCTAAACCTACTCAGCTTTGGTTTTTGGTCAAAGCTGAACAAAGTCAAGAAAGAAAAGTGTTCAAAAGTGGACATTTGAATTTTATGACAGATGCAACACTCACTACATAACAAGTGCAACACACCAAACCAGTATTTTCAAGAAATTGAAAAGAGGATATTTTAAAATACATATAAATTAAAAAAAAAACCTGTTTGGTGATGATTTCCCACCAGCTTTCAGAAAGAGAGGTATTCCTAAGTTTTCATTATGTCTTTGAAGGTCTCTCCTTAACATTTAATGCTGACTAGTGCAGTAGTCATTCCTTTTCTATGTGAAATCATTAAGTGATGATATCCAGTTCATAGTTTCAAGGACATTTAATTTTTTTTTTCCTTTTTTTCAATTTGTCGAATAGTTCCTCCCCCTGGCAATTCCCACACATTTTTATTGCATACTGAGCGGCCTCAATTGAAATGTCTTCTGTGAACTTGAGCATCTTTATGGATCAAACCGTGACTTTCAGAAATAGTTACAATTTTAGGGATTAATGCTTTTCAGTGCCTTGAATACATTCTGTAAGTTATGCATTGTGAGAGTTGCTGGTATCTTCTTAGAAACAGTTGCTTCAGATCAAAACCGCTTCCCACTCTGCTGTCCTTTCCCATATCAAATAACAATTGAAACAGCAGCAACAGCCAATGAACATGGATCAATGATATCTTCAGCCACTGCATTTGTGTAAGTTTAATCCATTTATGTGAAAATCAAGTTACTACTGGCCTGCTTTTTCTTTACTGGAAACAATTGATAACGTTACTTCAGAAGAAATTAATCCAGAGAATTAATTAGCAGAATCTAGTATCCAATAAATGTAGTCTTGAGAAAGATTTCATGGATGGTCAGTTGTGGCATTAAATGGAAGGTAATAAAGTAGGTTCCACTAGTTTATTTCCATACTCAGACAGAAGTGACAGAAAAGAAACAAATAGGATGACGTTGACTTTGGAGAGAAGTAAATAGGTCAGTTCCTGTATCTGTTGCAGACAAGCTTGAAGAAATTTTTTTTAAAGTTTTTGGCTTAGGCCCATATTTAAAGGGTTGAGTTTTTGGAAGAAATACTTTGAAAAGCAAAAAGAAAGAAAAGATTGTTTCCAGGCCATTGAAACCAATGAGATTCATATCTCAAAAGTTGCACTTTTAGGTGCTTTAGGATCAAATTCAATCCATGTCAGTGGGAGAAAAACAAATTAATGCTACATCATTCCTGTGTCTTTCAGTAGGTTAAGATTTTGCAGTTCACAGACGTGAACCTTACATCTGATTAGTTAATGTAGTTTTGCTGATGAGTGGTAACCTCCTTTGCTGCAGTATTTGAATTTTTGATTTTGAGTCCAGCCCCCCCCCCTTTTTTTTAATACAATTTGTTATTGTTGAATGGTTGCACTTAAAAAATACAAATGGAGATCAGTAGGCTGTTTCATGAGGGCTGGGTGTGTGTACAGCTAAGTACTTTGAGCCAGATTTTCAAAGGTATTTAAGAATCTGAACTTTCAGAGAGATGTCTAAGAGGATCTTTGAGAGACTGTCTGCATGTTTAAGCAGCTAAATGACTTTAAATATCTTGGATTATTTTTGAAACGTTTAAGCAAGTGTTTAAGCAACTTCTTGAAACAGGGTTTTAGTAAGAGTGAAGATCTCTTAAAATCCTGCATAAGTACTATTTTTCTGGGGTAGGAGTTTTTAATGCAACTCCCAAACATGGAAGATGTTTCTAAAAATAGCTTGTGTTTCATTTCAAAACTCTTTATAAACTGGCTTTTACTGCTTACACCAGTAGATGTAATTCAAAGGAAAAAGAAACTACTTTCCAGTTAGAAATTCTATTTTAAGCTATTATCTCTCTTGACCCATAGACCTACGTATCTCTGACTTAACTCTGTGGCCTGTAGCTTGTCACAGAGAAGGATTCTGCTTTTGGCAGCTGTGCTCATTCAGCATGTTTGCTAACTTAGCAGGAAAGTGCTTCTGTATTTGCTTTGTCTTGGTTTCTGAGCAGTGACTTATTTACTGAAACATTTCTTTTTCTCTCTCTTTTTTTACTTATTGGAATTGATTGTGTGAGTGAAATTCAGGATGTTGTGACTGCAGGATTGTATGCTGTCAGTTTTTCTAGAAGGTTTTCTGTGCTTATAGGACCTTGAGTTTCACTCATTACTCTGACTAAAGTGAAGAATAACTGATAAAGGGAAACACACTTTATCAGTAATCACAATATAAATCTTTTTTGGTGCAGTCTTACTGGTAAAATCAGGGATTTTTAAAATATGTATATTTTTTAGATGTGTTTAAATTAGTAGTTGCTTTTTTTTACAAAAAACCCTTGAGGCATGTGTAAAACTAGTGGCTACATAAAGCTGAAGAATCAGATGTCTGCTGGGCAAATTGACAGAACTCATTAATCTTAGACGCAGTGTACTATAGAGTCTGTCCTTTCATGCACCTGCCCATGCCTAAAGTAATTACATGATGGCACTATTAATACTGAAGAGCTTGAGTGGGAATAGGGTTATCTTCTCTTCCTAGTAATTGATTGCTAGCTGATTAGTGGACAACATTTCTCCTACAGTATAATTGCCTTTCTGCTATTGTAGCCTCTCTAACCTGGGGTTAGGCCATCTTACTGGTTTGGAGACCCTAACAATAGCTTCACAGCCCTCAAAGTAATGAACTGGAACTCAGGCACTGTGAATTCCCTAAACAGAAGATGACTAGTTAAATGTATTTCAATGATAGCATATTTTACAGCAATCAGACAACTGAAGATTTGTTGCCTTC